CCCACGACGAACACATCGCCATCGCGAGGCAGGTGGCTCTCCAGCGCGTCACCGCCACCCAGCAGCGCGGACGACAGCAGCGACCCGCCAAACGTCACAAGCGACTGCCGTAGCACATCTGCTATGGCGGCCGCCTCGTCACTGCGGATCACAGCGTGGGCGTTGGCGCCGGTCGTGCTGCCGAGGTACTGCGCAAGCACAAAGAACTCCTGCTCCAGCGTCGGGGACAGGCGGATAACGTGCCGACGAAAAGTATTCAGCCGTGGTTTAAGAGGGAACGGATCAATGAACGTCACATTCTGAAACTCAAGCAGAGCCTCCGTAGTGACACCACCAACAACATGGACGCGGCGAATCAGAGTTTCCCCGAGAAGCGCACTATTCGCAGTACCAACCGTAGAACGCACCCCTTGTGGCAAAAAATAATGAACACCTCCACGCTTCGTATAATATTGAGATGAAAGCTTAACACCCCTTCCAATTCTTTTAAGAGATCGCATCCCCACTGGATCATCCAACATCACCAGATAAACTCCGTTTAGAGGAGGAAACAGCTTTGTGTAATTGATATAGCACTGCTTCGAATCTGCCGTAAGGCTTCCTTCCACCACCTTCTCAGCGCGGTACTCTTCCACAAACCGCTTCATGTAGACCGTCCGCCCACCCTGATTGCAGCGGCAGATAGCACCCTGCGACTCAGCAATAGCACTGCACTCATCACCGTAGTCACCGATAACAAGATCATCGATCAAATACCGGCGTTGGCTGTAGAGCGAACGTCTGAAGGACTCCCTGTCCTTTACCCGCACATGGCTGCTCAGTGCCTCCCACAGCACCTCACCAACGATCCAACCAGCAACCATCATTTCACCGTCGGTATCGTCCTCCAGAAAGTGCGTGGCACTTTTATACACCTTATTCTCATCGCTCTCAAGGTAATCACGCATCACAGTCTGGAAGCGTTGGATCGCCTTGTATTGCGTGTCTTTCGCAAGTGGGTTCGTACCTGTCGTGATGACCTGGCCGGGAATAAAGGGAACACCGCCATCCACAGCTTCGCGCCATGTCGACACTAAAATAGTCTGCAGCACACCAGGGCTGAGTAGGTAGGCGCCAGCGGTGCGCTGGTCCGTCAGCATCCGCGTAATGAACTTCGCTGTGTCCTTCACAGGCGCACCGAACACAATCACAGCCTGCGGGCGCGTGGCCGCGAACTCCTCCCACGTGGCATTGAACACACCATCGTCAGCCGACCCAGTCAGAGAGCTCTCCAGAGTGAAAACACCGCACAGCTCGTATCCCATCCGCGACAGTAATTTCAAAGCCTGAAAGTACTCCTCTTCACCAAAAGCAACATTCTGCAGGTACATGAACCCCAGTCGGTGAACACGAAGATAATTTATAGTATACCGAATCAGGCTTAATGGTGCAAACGCAGGTTCCGCTTGCACAAAGTACAGGTTCGGGTTCCATTCCCTTACGGCGCTCGAGCTAGTAAACGGAGCAAACAGAACGACACTATTCTTCAACAATAATGGGGTGACACGTAGTAGAAGGTGATCACCAAAAAGGCCGACAATAGCCCGTATGTCATTGTCCTTTAATGCATTCGTAACATCGTCTGTAAAGGAAGCTTCACTCGTCACCTTCTCAACGAATTCAACACCTAAAACTTTGGAAAAATCGATCTTGTGTGACCGCATAGATCCTCGGAGGCCAGAAATCACAGCGCGCGCAATAGCATCAGAGCCCGGCATCGATGACACATTCAACAGAAGAATCTTTACAGCAGCCGGCTTAGAATTAGACAGACACTGAGAAGCTGGCACAGCAGAAAGAATCAGGGCGAGACACACGAGACCCACGCACAGCGGTGGGAGGGAGTGGGAGCTACAGGCATGCCGCGCACGCCCATCATGCCCCCAAAGGGCACTGGCATCCCTCGCACGTGCCGGTGCAAATTGCGGTGCTGCCATCCTCAGCAGGACTACAGTGCTGCCTTGATGATCCCTTCCTAGAACAAGCACAAGGGGGAGCAGAGCGGCAGACAGAAGAGTAAACTCACAGCGCACGAGACACTCCACAAGTGCACTCGTCACACACACACCACAATATCACTTGCTGCCAGCGCCAACACGCCCATGCCGCTCTCACGTGGGGTGAAGCAAAGCCGCTGTCTCTCCAAGGCCAGCAGTTGCAACTCAATCACACCACGCGGAATGCGTTGCAGCACACCACACAGCAACAACATTGCCTTGAGGACGCCGGGCTTTGCATGGACTGCCCAACTTCTGCTCAGGCAAACACGATAACAGGACGTCTCCGTATCTCATCAAGGTGACGGCACCCCAGTGGGATAGGAAGGCGCAACACGGCGTTCCTCCAGACGGGAAAACCACGCGACAACGTGCAGTGCGCTCGTCCGCATGCTGTCTCAGCACCAGCAGCAGCACCGTCTGTGATGGCTGGCAGTCACACTTTCCCACCACACAATAGGCAACGCATTTGGATGCGCGTGGTGAGTGTGCTACGCTGCAGGTCGCGCCGAGAGTTCCTCCTCCCGCTTCCGCAAGTTGGCCTCGATGCGCTGCAGCTGCTGCATTCGCCTCCCGCGCTCGCCCAGCGATAGGTCCCCCGTCTGGCGGTCACGCTCCATCTGCTCTGCGCGTCGCCTCTCCACACCCGTCCGAAGGTGCCCCAGCTGCCGCTCCTTCAGCATGAAGGCCTCGGACCACCGCAGCTTCATCTCGAGCTCGCACTGCACCATCTCGCTTTCCTTACTGCGCAGCGCATCCTCCCACAGAAGAAGGGAATCGCGCTGCTGTGCGACGTGCGCCTCCGCCTCCCGCAGGGCCATCTCACGCGCCGAATCCACCTGCTCGCCTTCACGGCAAAAACGACACACAACAGCGAGCATACCCTCATCACGAACAGAATCGTCACGTGTTGGAAGCAAGCCGCTCTGTGTCGTCTCAATACGCGATGAAGGCTGAAGGCTGATGGCTGACACCCGACTCTCCGAGGTTTCTGCTCGCATCTCCAGAGACAGCTTCCGTATCTGCTCCTCTGCCCGCAAGTGCTCCTCCCGTGCCACCATAAGCGCTTCACGGTGAATTGCGCTCTGCGCCGCCAATTCGTCGGCCTTCTCGACGAGGACATCCCTGGAACGAAGCATCATCTTGAGTCTTGCCGCATATTTCAGCAGCGGCTCAACCTCGTCTTCCCGTGGCGAGGCCGCACGTGTTTCGTGGCCGCCGCCCCGCCCGCCCTGTAGCCCGCAGAATTCGGTACACTCAAGGCTTCAATTGCCGCCCCTGCGCCGGGTCGGGCCAGCAGCAGCAGCGACGCCACGTGCGCCCTTGACAAGTGCGGCCACCGAACCTGAAAGAATTCAATAAAGTCACCATAGCCGAGGCGGTCTGGGATGTGCGCAGCACACAGCGCTGCATCAACGGACCGCGCCTCGCCGTTCTCCACGAGGCGCTCCTCGAGGGTCTCGAGAGACGCGCGCGAAACAGTCATATCCGGCAGTGCAGCGGTGGCGCAGAACACCGTGTAGAACGCCTGCTCGATGCCCACGCTCCACACGCGGCCAGCACTCACCCAACAGCGGGCACACAAAAGGTGCACCACCAGGCGGAAGGTGGCCGCGTCGAGTTGTGTGCCCTCGAAGCACGACAGCTGCGCATCGCCAATATAAACGCGGCCCTTGTCCTCAGTGAACCCGAGACCCTCGAACCACTCTGCCGTCTCATCCAACGTGATCCAGCCATCGCCATCGCGGTCGATAAAGAGAAAATATCTTCCTCCATAGAGAGCTACTATACAGATCCGTTAAAAACAAAAGTAGCGAGAAAAGAGGCAGCCAGGAGTGTGCAATGCAACGTGAACAGCCACGGCAAACTGCGCCACCTGAAGGAGGTGCGCCACCCAGAGAGGAAGCCTAGCGTGTGGTGGCCGCCAATAGCATTGTCTGCAGCGTTACAAATCTTAGTCGATGCGAAACAAACACCACACCGGGGCCCCGTCACAGCAATGCACCCTTTGACAGAGAACTCGATTTCGTCTTGTTATCCTTCCCACACGATGCAATCTGTGACTCCCCCACGTATGTAACGTCGAGCACCCCGTCGGTGTGCATGGTGTCCAGCGTCAGCAGCGCCGCGCTCGCGGAGCGGAGGTCCCAAACACGCACAGTGCTGTCCTCGCTGGCGGTGGCAAAGAGGTGTGCTGCGCCCCGCTCACCCTCCTCCCACCGCCACATCCACGTTGCTGCGTACAGCCACTGCCGGTGGCCACTGAACGTCTTCACAACGTTCCTCTCGCGTGTGTCGTACAGCCGCGCGCGGTTGTCGGTGCACGCGGCAAGGATAAGGTCACCGCCGCCACCAGCGTGCTTCACCGCAAGGCCCTGGACGGGGTGGTCGCCCGCGTACTGCGACTGCATGACAGCCTGGTCAACGTTGAGCCCCTTCACCGCGCCGTCGAGCCCGGCGGAGTACAGCAGCGACGACCCACCAGCCACAGAGAAGCGGCACGCAAGCACGGGCCGCGTGTGGTCCGTGAAGGAGACAAGCGGGGCCTTCGCCGCTGTGTCCACGAGCTGCGACCACGCGAAAACCTTCACGGTGCAGTCCCACGAGGCAGTGCTGACATACGCTCCGGCGCCCGGCGACACGTCAACGGAATCCACGCCATCGGCGTGCGCCTTCACCGCGCCAAGCGGTTTCAGTTGTGCCACTCCGCTGTCAAACCTCCACGCCACCACACTGCCGTCCTTACTGCAGCTGGCACACAGAAAGTCTTCCGTCGCCACTGCACGCGTCCTCTTCCGCGTCAACTCCTGCGCGCCGGTGGAAGCAGCGGGGCGCACTGGATGGAGGCACACCTCCTTCACACACTCGTCGTGGTACGTGCCAAGCGCCACGCAGTTGTCACCGTCCCAGAGGCGTACGCAGTGATCATACGAGCCCGTAAGAAGCAGTTCGGCACAGCCCGCAAATGGTGCTCTCACACTGCTCACCCAATCGTCGTGCGGAAGGAGTGCTCCCTCTTTCGCCTGCAAAGCGGGTGTGTACTCGATGTTCAGCAGCTCCTCGTAGCTGATGCCGCGGCGGCTCAGGAACTTCTGCAGCGACGTCGAGATGTACTCATCATTAAGGAGAAAATCAAACGGCTGGCCGCCCACAGCAAGCACACTTTGCACAAGCGTGTTGAGGCCGTCAGGAAGGGTATCGAGCGGCACAGAGTACGACTGCTCCGGCATGGCCTTTGGAAAACTTGTCGTGAAGAACGTCACCATCACATGGCCACCGTGAGCGGCGTCATGTTGGCCGTCAGCCGCAGCGTCTCGCAGCGGCGCCTCGTGAAGCATGGACGCTAAGGTGATTCCTTACACGCACAGAGGAAGAGGAACCCTGCAAATCACAAACAGATGAAAAAGCGAATCCTGACAACTGCACGATAAAGCAGCGACCAAAGTATGCCCGGCCTGTGATGCATCAAGGCACAGCGCAATGCACCACAGCAAGCACACATCATAGCGATCGACGGCCGTCGTCAGAGGAAAAACAAACAATTAAGCAAAGGCAACAGTGTGTAAGGAAACACCAACGGCACACAGACAGAACACAGCAGGGGAGCCATGCCCACACCATCAGGGCAACGCAGGACACAGGGCAGCACACCACACTCGGTAATCCCACGCCACACCGCCCAGAACGCGCAAACCCACATAATAGCAGCAAGTGCTAAAGAGGATGGAAATAAACAACGACGTCACCCCACTTTTCCCAAAAAAAAAGAAGCGCTGCTCTCCAGGAAAGAACATCAACACAACCACGCACTGCAAAAAAAAACAGGAACAGCTCTGCCCAATGCTCCTTGTCCGGCACGCAGACACACATGGCGGCAAGGTCATGCACACACTATTCACAACGCAACACCGCGTGGAACAGAGCAAGACGCCCGAAACGTCTTCGGTGACGAAGCAATAAGGAAGAGAAACAGCTGCCCAGAGGCAGCCTTCACACAAAGACATTAACCGCACAGCGCACGTCATGCGTCTTCCCACCACAAGCAGAGACAGCTAGCCGGCACAGTCAGCAAGACAGTCAACGTACCCAGCCATCCTTGCCCTTCGCAACTTACATCGCACACAAAAAAAAAGAGAAAGCACCTCCCACGAACAAAAACATCTCATTTTCCAAAGACAAGGTAAGTCACGCCCCAAGCGTCAAACCTGCACAACAATGCGGGACGAACAAACACTACGCCCACGCTTCAGCACAAATAAAGCCGCATCAAATCGCATGATAGCAACAACAGCAGCACTGTGGTTCTACACCGAAGAAGATCATACAGACACACAGCGCTAGCGCACAGGCACTGAAGACACTGGCCCTAGTCACCACATCGGCATCGGCACAGTGCAAACACCTCGTCCGCTGCAGCTTACGGCGGCTACGCCTCGACCCCCACACCCACACATGCGGCACCCACCACAGCAAAGAGGACAGCGCACGGCACACATGCGCGGGCACAACAGCACTGCGTCGGAGGTGGCGGCGTAGTCCATCCCACGCAGGGGCACCTCGCCGCGACGCCCCGGG